TATCTGGTCATAATCGATGCCTACTCGAAATGGGTCGAGGTATTAGATATGTGTACCACAACTACTTCTAGTGCGGTAATAGACAAAATGCTCGAGTTTGTGTCTAGGTTCGGAATACCTCACACCTTGGTTTCTGATAATGGCACATCGTTTTGTTCCGAAGAATTCAATAGATTTTGTAATTTAAATGGTATAAAACATGTGAAGTCGCCTGCATATCGTCCGGCTAGTAATGGTCAAGCCGAGAGCTATGTGAAAATTGTTAAAAAGGGTATTAAATCTAGTCTCGCAACAAGTAAAAATTCAAGAGAATGTAAAATAAGTACTCTACAATATCTTTTCAATTATCGTAATTCGATTCATTCTACCACAGGTTCATCACCAGCTCACCTAGTTTTTGGGCACAAATTAAGATCGCGGTTAGACCTAATTAATCCAATACAGCCGACCCCCTCGTCTACAGAACTTGCCAATAACGTAAAGTCTAAACAGTGTTCGCAGGTTAAATCTTATGGTGGTAAAATAAAAAAATCGTTTTCAACGGGAGAGTCAGTATTATATAAAAATATTGTAATAATAATAAGTTTTCATGGGCTAAAGGAACAATTGTGAATAAAATTGGTAACATGTTGTTTATTGTACAAGATCTTGCAAATCACATTCACGTGGGCATCCTATCTCAGATCCTCCGCATAAGTCTCGTTGTATAACGCAAGCATAAAAGATAATCATTTTACTTCAGTTTTCCGTGTCTATGTAATTTGACTTTCTTTTTTAATTTTACTTGCTTTGTACTTTTATCGTAAGAAAAATCATTACCGTAAATCGTCGTAAGAGAGAACTATAGGAAATATCATAAAAACTTCTGGCTTCCTATGTATAGTGTAGTAATAGACATAAGTTAAGGTGTATCCCTGACCAAAATGTTGCGAAAGTGCGTTTTTCAGACTCTATTATCTCATTAGTTATGAAAAATAAACTACATCTAAAAGTACATTATTAACGTTCGATATCTTATCATCACATTCCACGTTCTAATTTATTTTTATGTGCTATAAATATTTTTAAAATCAACTTTTAAAAAATGACTAAAATTCTTGATTACATGCATCTGTTGCTAAACGCAACGCTCTAATCATTTGAGGATTACACTAATGGATAGATAATTTAAAAATCTATATTCTCCACGTTTTGTTTAAATTTTTAAGTTCGTTTTTCTTTTTTAATTGAAATAATTCCGAAAATTGTGTGCGTGTGGGCGAGTGAGTGCGGGCGGCATTACGCTGTATGCGTTCGTACGAGGTAGCTGTATCGGTCGTCGCCGTCTTCGACGTTTCGTATTTCGCCGCAAACATAACATTATTTGAGTACCTACCAACCGGTGCGCTTACGTGTCTTTTACTACAAAAAGACGCTACGATTATGAAAATATAATTTTGTGGATTGATTATTGCAAATGCCTAAATTCAAGAAGAATAAACGTCAACTACGTCAAAATGCTCTAAAGATGAAAGAAAATCTGTAAGTAATTTGATGTATTATGCAAAGTTCACTTACTTTTATTCCGTTAAATTTCTACGTGGTATTACATAGTTTATTTTTATTTTAGGAGGTGAAGAAAAATACCTAAATACACTGAATGACAAAAATAATTATTCAAGTTTACCAATAATTGAAAATGATAATGGATAAGTCGGGCGCACTTTTGAGTCCATAGAGTTAAGAAATTATAACCAGAATTTATGAAATTTGATGTGATATTTTTTGTGGTTACCATATTATAAATAATATGAAACTTTTCAAATATATAGCTAAAATATGTATCTAAATAATTTATTACAAGTAATTTCGTTTTGTTGTCATACAAGATCTAATATAATTTATTCTTTATTGCAGGCTAAATACGAACAATAACGATACGGCAGTAAATGACTTGTGTCAAGAAACCATAGAATTACTGTATACCTGTCTTGGTTCAACTGAAATGGTTGACGATGTAAAGTTTTGTTTATTTAATTTTTTGGTTTGTAGATATTATGGTGCACAAATGTGTACTTACCTAATCAAAATACTTTAGTAGGTATTGTGGTTAGGTACACACTTGTGCTTGTGATTAGCTAAGAGATATCTAAGTAAGTACTGTAAAATGCCCTAATTTGACTTACCTAGCCTTACTTTGCCTAAACCGATCATTTGAATTTCATTAGTAGGCTATTCGAGCTAGAGTTAAAGTTAAAGTTATAGCCTATATAAGTCCCACTCCTGGGCACAGGCCTCCGCTCATTTCTAAAAGGGTCCTAGGAAAGGAGTTGTCCACCGCGCTTCCCCAATGCGTGTTGGCGAACTTCGCATGTCTTCGAAATATTTTTTTCTTATTTCTCAGACATGCAGGTTTCCTCACAATGTTTTCCTTCACCACTGAGCACGTGGTAAATCAACACTTAAAATTGCAATTACAATTTCATTGGTGCCGGCGGGAATCGAACCCGGTTTGCTCGCGCACTGTGAAAATTTGACACTTTGCTAACCATCTGAGCTACCAGGGCTCCTCTCCTCTCGAGCTAGAGACTTTATTATATTATAAAAGGAACCAATGCACCGACAAAAAAAAAAAAAGGGATTATTATTGAACGAAATCCCGCTGACTATAACATAATATAACCTTTATGTTTTACATAAATATCCTAAAAAAACTAATTATTTTAATATAACCTATAAAATTAACAAGTTTATTGCATTTTTATTTGAGTAATTTTTTTATGCAATTTCTTTATCTACGTCTATTTTTAGGAACCTTTATTTAATCTGAATCATACATAACACTATATTACTGATTTACTTACTTATACGTAGTTTTCTTTTTTGCAGTTACAAATATCTTGTGAGGTTGAAAAAGGCAGTAATGAAAAAATAATAATTGACGTCAGCCACTTCTTTTCATAAAAATTTCAAATCATGGTCCATTAGGTTGCAGCTTCACCGAACCACAACTTATCGGAGGAACACAAAAGGCTTAGAGTCAAAATTTACGCTTAAATGCCAATTATGTAACCAAAAATGTGTAATAGTAAACGATGATTGTAGTGAAAATTATTTATCATTAAATGAATATGCAGTCGCAGGTATGATTGAAATAGGCGCGGGAAATTAGCAACTAAACGAGCTATTGTCATCAATGAACCTTCCTTCTTTATCCGAATATATATATATATATATATTCGGATAAAGGTATATATATATATATATATATGTATATATATATATATATATATATATATTCGGATTTATTATTGAAAAAAGTGAAATGTGTTTCCATAGAAAATATAATTTTGACTGTAGGACTGTAAAATGTGAAGAACTGTACACAGTGATGGAGAAGCTTGCACGTCTCCAACCAGCTCCGGTCAATCGCTCGTCCCCGTAGGACCTCATACCGCATAACAGACGGTCCCCAAGTTCCAAGGGCTGGGGTAGGAAGCTCTCCGTCATTGGCCGTACTGACTAGACCTTGCGCCAACAGACTTTCGTCTTTACCCGTCCAGTTGATTTCTTCAAGGACGGCATCAATAAACTACCAATGCGCTGGCAAAGATGCATCGATTGTATGGGTGATTAATATATATACAATATATACATATATAATATATATATATATATATATATATATATATATATATATATAACCACTTATATCTATGGGCGTATGTATGCTCATATGTGTTCATTTAATAGCTGCAGCTGTTTGTTTATAATTTAAGGAAGTTAAAAAATTTGTAATTAATTTCTTACATTCAAGATAATAAAAATGACTTTATATGTTATTTTGTTCTATTTATTAAACGCACCCAGTATTACTAATCACAATACCTCATTAGTTATTGTAATTGGGTAAAAAAATATATTTAGTTACTAATGCTATATTTATTATTTTAATAATTACCTACCCAGTAGGTAAATATTAAAATAATAAATGTAGCATTATAAACAGTAAATCTCCCTCAAACTCAATTTCCTAATATTGTTCCTAAATAAGGAATAGCGATAAAAGATTAGTAGGTAATAACTATTGCTCCTCAAAATTATATTTGACCTCAAGGTAAAACATATCCTAAAATTCAGTAGCTAAATAAAATAATAATACCTATTCTTTATCTCCTCTACCTCTTCTATTCAAGTATATTTTCAATATGTAAGTAAATGAAAATAACAAAAATGAAGCACCATTAGCATGTAAAGTTCGAATCCATAATTAACATTTCGACAAATATTATAATTTACACTATAAAAAGCTAATTCAATATTAGCAGTATAGTATATAGTTAAAAATAATCAAAATAGTCATTTTTATTAATTAGATAATATATAAGAATACATAATTCTAATATAGGGCAACTAATATACCGAATAAAGAAAATTAAAATACATTTATCATTGTATGCCGTGTCCATAAAATAGTTCACTGACATTGAAAAATTAATACTACGTTCGTACCAGTAGGTGGCGTCTTGCAGATTTCTTACGCGATATATTGTAGCGAGCGTTGGCAGACCCAACGCTCAAGGTCGTTCGCTAGGGGTATGGCCTTAAGTAATGACTCATGACCACGGTGGGGATTAATTAGGTCGGTTACCTTGGATTTGGATTTAATGTTGTTAATTAACAAACTACGGTAAAAATACTACGGTCTTCGAATGTAAAAATGAAGTAGAATACGCTAAATAATTAATATTAAATACTATTTTATGGATTATGTCGCATTTAGTTTAAATTTTTACTTATTTTAAATTCTTTTCGGAATATCTATTGGAAGGAGACTGAGATATCTGACGTCCTGATGTCCTAGTCACCGGGGCTATCTTCAACTTTTGATAATGAAATGATATCATAATATAACACATCTATAAATATTTATAGAGGATATCCGCGTATTTAAAAAATAAACTTCTTACTTCCTATTTTGTTAAAACAAGCATATTATATAACACAAAGCAATTCGTCAGTTACCAGCAGATCCTGAACCTGAGGCACCAAATGAAGAAGTTGCTGAAGAAGTCGTAGAAGAAAAAGTCGTAGCAGAAGAAGTCGTAAAAGAAGAAGTCGTAGAAGAAGTTGTAGAAGAAGAAGTTGTTCGTGAAGAACCCACTGAAGAAGTAGGTATAAAAATAACTAAACAGCATTACCATTATCATTATACAGGGGTATTTTTCAAAGAGTAGCCAACTTTTAAACTTTAGTTCAAATATATAAATAATGATATACCGTTATTGCAGTTTTTGAAAATACGAGTAAATAAGGCTTCTACTTTATTTGAAATCTGTTATCCCAAAATGAATTTGATTTATGGGCAAGAAAGTTTTTGCCTACCGATCGATCCTTACGAATGTGTGCGTGCGGAGTAAAATCAGTTAAAATAATGCATTACCACTTATTTTGAATTAAAAAAAGACTATTTGCCTATATTACTTATTCTGAACCTTCTCTAGGCCGATTATTGCAACATAACCCTGTATAGACAGATATACTAAATGTATCGAAAACCCTGTGGTTCCCGTTAAGTGCGCTATCAGTATTCAATCGTATATACTTAAATAACTTTAATTCAGAAAACTCGACCATATAAAATTAAATTAATTTAAAATAGCATATAGGCAACTGAACAGGCAGATCTCCAAATACGTGCGGCGGAACTTACGCAACTTCAATACAGCTCGTATTGAAGAAGCGATTGAGCGGAACCAGGGCAAAATCTTGGCAAATACTTTGCCAGAGATCTTTCTGCCAGAAAGAGCCAACTGTCAAAGCTGAAGACTGAGTGTGCCAGCATAGTTTCCGAGACACCTAAGATTTTGAGTGAGATTGAGAGGTTCTACGAGCAGCTGTATACGTCATCGTTGGAGCCACACACAACCGGACGTCAGTCTGAACGAGATTAGAATGGCTCTCCAGCACCTTAAAAACTGTAAGTCCGCGTGCGAACCCTTTACTTGAACTCCTTCAGAAGCTCTTTAATTCCGTCCTCCATGGTAGCTCTACTCCCGAGGCGTGGAACAGAAGTGCGGTGTTCTTATTCTTCAAGAAAGGTAACAACGCTCTCTTGAAGAACTACAGACTGATATCCCTTTTGAGTCGCGCCCACTTGCTGTTCTCGAGAGTCATTACGAATCGTCTCGCACGCAGACTCGACGACTTCCAGCCTCCCGAACAAGCCGGTTTCCGAAAAGGCTTTAGCTTCATAGACCACATACAAACCCTTCGGCAAATTGTACAGAAATCCGAAGAGTACAATCTGCCACTTTACCTAGCGTATGTGGACTATGAGAAAGCCTTTGATTCAGGCGAAATTTGGGTGAAAAAGGCTTACAAGACACAACAACCCTGCGGCAGATTGTACAGAAACCGAAGAGTACAATCTGACTGCTTGGCGTATGTGGACTATAAGAAAGCCTTTTCGTCGACTACAGTCCCTTCAGCGGTGCCAAGTTGACTGTCGGTATATCGAAGTGCTAAAGTGTTTATACAGTAGGGCTACGATGGCTATCCGAGTACAGAACCAGAGTACGAAACCTATCCAGCTGCAGAGAGGTGTAAGATAGGGTGACGTTATATCCCCGAAACTCTTCACCGCTGCATTGGAAGACGTTTTCAAGCTACTGGACTGGAAAGGATACGGTATTAACATCAATGGCGAGTACATCACTCACCTTCAATTTGCCGACGAAATAAAAAAAATCTGAAAACGAGACCGACCTATGGAACTGAGACGTGGCCACTGCTGGCCGTATGAAGACGCTTAAAGTCGCTCAGAGAGCTATAGAGAGGGCAATGCTTGGGGTTTCTCTGCGTGATAAACTTCGAAATGATGATATTCGCAGTAGACCCAGAGTGACCGACATAGCCCAACGGATTAGTAAGCTGAAGTGGCAAATGGCCGGCTATATAGCTCGAAGAACCGACAACCGTTGGGGAAAAAAGGTTGTCGAGTTGCAGCCGCGTACCGGTAGGCAAAGTGTAGAGCAACCCCCACTAGATAGAGTAACGACCTGGTAAGACATGCAGGAAATCGATGGATGCAGGTGGCTCAGGACCGTGCTTTGTGGCGTACCTTGGGGAGGCCTATATTCATCAGTGGACTTGTGAAGGGCTGTAATGATGATGATAAAAATAAATCTTCATTTGCTAATTATATGTGGTTTTATTATTTTATATATATTTGCAATTATTATATTTGCATTGGCTAGGGAGTTAGAACATTGTCAAAGACCCCGCTTTACCAATGTATCAGTTAGAGGTAGTAAAGCTAAGGAAGGAAGGCATTGTAAACGAAGAGGAACCCATATGGCTGGACCACGGTGATGGGCCGTCCCGAAGTGGCCACTCCAAGTGAACCTAGCAAACCCACTTCAGATGTATGTTGTAAAGCTGCGGTGAGAGGGGTGTCCTTCCTCCATATAGCCATATAGCCGAGACGGAGTCGCGTGGAAATAGGAGTGTTGGTGTAACGATTCACCACTCACCCTATCCTCCGTGAATCTGCCGGGGCCACACTGGTGTTGCGGTGATAGTGGGGGTGCAGAGAGGGGGGAGGAGTGTCAGTATTGCAAGGCACCGCTCTCCCTACCATCCGCGGTTGAAACTTCATTGGTGGTGGAGCCACAGACCAGAACCACCACTAGGATCAGGAATGCTCATGCTTCCGAGTGCTCGCTTTTTTCCTAACCCCCATAGCCTCCGCGTATCGGGCTCGGGGGAACTCCGTTGCACAGGTGGAATTAATTCCGCGAAGAAAGGCGCGTCTTACGTTCCTGGTGCGCCTTGCCTGAGAGGGCAAAGGGGGAAGAAGAGTCTCCTCCAGAGGAAGGAAGAGTAACGTATAGGAAGAAGAATAACGTATGTAACACCTTGGAGTTTTATTTTAGTCGGTGCTAGACAAACATAATCTGTCCGTGCCTCGCGAGGCGGGTATGCGTAAGAATTTCCCCATGTAAATAAAAGATGTAGGTGTATAGACATCATAGAAACCATAGGGTTTACGCCTTCCACATACTATAAGGTGGTCAGGGCGTCCGTTTATTGTCCTAACTTTTAAGAAATAGCAAATTTTGTATTTTCTAAAGCAGTTTTTTTAAATCTTTTCCAGGAAGCAGAACAAGAGAAAGTTGAGGAAGAGGAAGAATTCCACTCTGACGTATCTGTAGAGGGAGAGGACTACATTCCTCCGGGTGGTCTTTTCGTGCCAGGTCTTTATACACCACCCAATGATCTGGCTAAGGCTAATGGTCTTGCTTTCTTCTTTCCTAAAGTTAGTGGTTTTTCCCTCAATATAATATTAATAAACTAGATTTAAATGTAGTTTTTGATACCTCAAGTCAGTAAACAAAAATTTTTTTTTAATTTGGATTATATATTGATTAAAACTTTTACGGATTTTATCGCGTTTAATTTTAAATGTTTTTAATTTCCGACGTTACGGGTGCTTTCCAGCACCCATGTTCTCGGGGGACTGAGGTGACTGACGTCCAGATGTCAATGTTAACTCGGAGTACCTTCAGCTTTTTAATTATTGTTTATGGTCCGATCTACGCAGAATGAACTTACTCGGTCTTGAAGTCTTGCAGTGGTATGCTTGGGTTTAATTTTAATTTTATTAATTACAGGGTCCCAAGCAGGTGGTAGTACCCAGCCTCCTTCTATATTGAAGTTAGGGTGTTTTTTAATTTCAATAGCCTCACGTATCTTCCTTGGTAGGAATCGATGTTCTTTTTCGAGGATTTTTAGGAGGTCTATCAAATCTGATGTAATGGTTGGGGCCGCCTAAGATATGCTCACAAACTGTAGACTTCCCGAAACGTTGATGCTTCACGTCAGCTATATGGTCGTTTACGCGTTTTAATAGATCTTTTTGTTTGCCCTATGTATGAGAGACCACATTCACAATCAAGCTTGTACACTCCTGCATCCTGTAGAGTATGACACTTGATAGATGGTAAGAACTGACTAATCTTGGCTAGGCTTGTAGAATGTTCTAACGGAAGCTCGCTTCAAGATGTAGCCAACCTTGTCTGTCACAGCTCTGACATATGGTAGTACAGCAGGCACACGCTCGACTATGGCCGGCTTCACTCGATCACTGTAACGTAGGCGCGGAAGTCGAAGCTTGTTGTCGTGCAGAACCTGCTTGACGTGCTGAAGTTCAACGGCCAGGTGTTTGCTGTCACAGATCCCTCGTGCTCTCTGTACCAAATATTTCCCCACGGTAGTTAAAGCTTAAGGTACACCGGGTTAACTTTGACATCGGGACGTCAGTCACCTCAGTCCACCGTGACCACGGGTGCTGGAAAGCACCGAAACGTCGGGAATTAAAAACATTTGAAATTAAACGCGATATAATTCGTAAAAGTAGTTTTAATCAATGTGTAGTGTTCGCGTAATTATAAGAAATCATTTGGATTACATTTTTAATACACTACGGTTTTTTATCATATCCTAGCATTGTCATCAAAATGCTCATCGGGAAATTAGTTTTAAATCAATTACTAAATTCCATCCGAAACAACAGACAGACAGACAAAAAAGTGTTTAAATAATTCCAATTTACCTACCAATTATGGCGATCATACTAAATCTAAAAGGATTTGGACAATAGGAGGGCTCCATCCTCAGTGGCAGATTAATTCGAAATCATAAAAAAATACAATGCAAACACTTGTCCAGTTGTTGGTCATACCTCGGGACAACCCCTAACCCTCCGACGCCAGCAATTTCTTACAGATAATTGGAAGCTGAAAATATTAAAATACAATTACATTGATTTTTACTTATGGATAGACTGTATTTACAACACTTTAACTCACTTCTTCACTATTAAAACAAGGCAATAGCTTAACATTTACTGTAAGAGCTTAACACCATTTCGCAGCTGATCCAAGACATAACTGCATCACAATTAGAGTCGGAATTCCTGCCACCGCATGTGCTTGTGATGTTCCCCATAGATAAGCGTCACGAGGTCCGCGAAGCTATGCAGCAATTTCCGGCCGACGTACTCTATGTTGGTAACATTTTTTTTTGTAGGTATATTATCCACGCGCTGTAGGTTTTCCGATTGAAATATGACGTCACGCCCTGTTGCGGCGTTGCATTAATTTGTGACGTTGCTAGGTTGCTAGTGAAACAGAACAACTACAGATTAAATAATGTTACTACGTAATCCCAGCGCGAGACGATGTACGCTCTATAGGGGACGCTCATCGACAAACCTGCGAGCGGCTTATACTTGAGCTTAGTATTGATAGTATACTCGAGATTGACACGTTACCACACGTTGATCAAATGATTGATACCTTTCGCTCATGAATCTTAAGAGTGTTAAAGTAAGGTATTGAAATATTACGTACAAATTTTTACCGGTTTCTCTAAAAAGAATGTCAATACGACTGTATTTTTAGGTGTTCCGTTTCAAATGCAGCAAACTCTTGAAACAAATTGACTCGCCTCGATGTCTGTTATTAAGTTTTACCTGTTAATGTTTCACATAGATGAATGAATGGCATATTTATTTGTAACATGCCAAATCGAATTTTCGTATTAAGGGTTTTATTTTCGGGGGTAAAATATGGGGAAGTTGAATTTTTATGTTATAGAGAAAAGCTTTTGACAGCCTTTGTATACCGGGTGGCATTTTTACTAAAAGGAAAAATTTGTGTGTAAAGTAAATGGAGTAGAGGCCTTTGGTATCTACATACTTATATTTTTCGTGTTTTTTGTTAAATTTTAATTTAAAAAAAAAAGGAAAAAGTCCAGACTCTACTTTATGCGTAACAAGTATTAATGAATGTATAATGATCTAGATCTTGGATCGGCCACTAGGCAAATACTTTACTTCAAATTAATAGTATTTAGGAAAAGATCAATTTGATGAAATAACATTTCATTCTAAAAAACACAGAAACCAACAACACAAGGCAAATGGGTATCTTCAATAATAATCTATCGACTTCGAATCGGGAATGGATCCATTGTTTGTATAGTCTACAACAAGGCATTTAAAAAAACTTCATGTCTTCAATAATCTATTGACTTATATTCGAAACGGGCACGGAACGTTTATATAATCTACTATGCTTTTATCTATGTGGACTATACAATATACAGGAGTAACCACTGACCTCTATATATTATGGGCTAGCCGTGACATAATGAGAAGTAAACGTGCATGGAACTAATAATAGAGATAAAACGGTGTGATAAAACATATCGATAAAAATTCTATACCCTACCTAAACCTAAATAAATTGAATGGACGTTACGCGTAGGACTCTACCCATAACGTCTATTTATGTATCATATTGATATAATGCCATCATCATCATTCATCGTCATTACAGCCCTTCACAAGTCCACTGCTGCACATAGGCAACGCCGTCTTAGGCTATACCGGGGCCTTTGGGCACACAAGTATTTGGGGCCCTGTTGGAAAGTAAGAAAAAGTGAGAAAACATTTTTCTGCTATGATCTTATATTTATTATAGTTAATTGGTAAAAATCAAATAATATGTCATTATTGACCGATCCACGACTTTTTCTGCCACCAGGGCGGCGCCACTTTACAATGAGCTAAAATATTTGACAGATTTCATAACGGGACGATAATTTCTTAGGGAAATGTAAACTTTAATGTTTCTTTACTAAACTTTCTTTCAAAAAATGAAAATATTCTATAACAACATCAATACGTCAATTTTTTATTTATTACATTAAAATTTAGACTGACTGCCTCGTTAGTCTAGTGGTAGTAGTAGTGCGACTTCTGATCATGAGGTCCTGGGTTCGAATCCCGGGTCGGGGCAAAAAAATTAATTATTGAGTTTTTTCGTCAAAACATTATCAGTAGTTGCCCGGAGTCAGGAAGTTGGCGGTGTCTCACCCCCGTGCCTCGGAAAACACGTAAAGATGTTGGTCCTGCGCCTGATCTCTCTCCGATCGTGTCGGTTTACCGTCCCATCGGATTATGCGAGTGAGGGAATAGAGAGTGCACCTGTGCTTGCGCATACACTTGGGCACTATAATCCTGTCCTGCGCCGATGGCTAGCCTCCTTTGAGGCAGGCCGCCGTGGCCGAAATTCGGTCTGGAGGATCATATTAAGTAAATCATTTGCCGTTAAATCTTTTGAAGTGTTATTTTTATTAAACAGTACGAAATAATATTTTTATCTTATACATTATACATACATAGATTGCCGAAATTTAAACAAAAATTCAGACTATAAGTAAGGCGGAACTACATATTTCCTACCTAGGAAATCTGTCAACGCCTTTGCGTAGCGTTGCCGGAAATTCACTAACAACGCCTTATTTACTCTATAATTTTTTTGTCGAATTATATTTTCTTAAAATAGAAAAAAGATTGTGTAACGTAAGCGAATAAGGTCGATGGCCCCATCTTCACCATGACGATAGGCGGGCCCTGGGCACGGGCCCCGTGCGCCCTTATGGTTAAGACGGTAATGAACATAGGCCTCCCTCAAGGAATACCACAAAGCAAGCTGAGCCACCTGAATAAATAACTTCCTGCATGTCTTACCAGGTTGTCACTCCATCTAGTGGGGGAACTCGCCTGCCGGTACGAGACTGCCACTCGATAACCTTTCTCCCCCATCGTTTATCGGTTCGTCAAGCTATAGGGCCGGCCCATTGCCACTTCAGCTTATTAATCTGTTGGGCGATGTCGGTCACACTAGTTCTACTGCGAATACCCTCATTCCTAAGTTTATCACGCAGGGAAACCCCGAGCATAGCCCTCTCCATAACTCGCTGAGCGACTTTGAGCTTCCTCATACAGTCAGCAGTGAAGGACCATGTCACATGACCATGAGGATAGTCAAATAGCGCATTGCCAATCGTCATACCTACAGTCCTCTTCTCTTGCAAGTCCACCTCAACTGAAACGGTACAGGGAGAAGAATCTCCTCTTGCCGCAGTCCACTAACACACATTCCAGGGCTCGACAAGCCCACTCAGAGTAACCACCTCGGTTCAACCATGTGAGTCCCCTATTTTTAGCATGGGTTATTAAGCCACGGCTACTAACCCCCCCCCCCCCCTTCAGCCATAACAAGGCGGGAACCCGTTCAGGGAGGAGTTAATTCCCACCTAAACTCACGCAAACTCACTAAGGGCATTAATAATTTTTCAGTCCCAATATAAATTAATTCCATTGATATAATAAATTGGTCATATTTAAACAAATTTACGTATTTTTATTATCAGGCTTAAGTTATCATCAGGTGACCTTTCCACACTTGACTACGGCCCTTGAGTTTGGGGGAAAATGAGAAGAAATAAAAAAACATTCGAAATAATAATCTTATAACTTATCATCACTGCACCAGTATTTCATTGATTTCGTCAATTTAAATAATTTAACACAACATAGCTCTATAACAAACAGTATGGGTAGATCTCTCGATTTGGTCTTGGCCAATATGTCATCCTGCGTGGTTGCTGAGGCCGTAGACCTTTTGTGTCCTATTGACCCACTTCATCCACTTCTCTCTATAGTACTCTCTCCATTAGAGAGGCCAAAGCTACAGTCCAATGCTGCGAGTAGGTTAAATTTTCATAAAGCAGATTACGTTGCTATCAATGACTATTTAATTGAAGTTGATTGGAAGTCTCTTTTTTATGGGAACAGTGATGTAAATAAGAAACTTGGATTATTATTGGAGGTTGTTAACAAAGTCATTCATAAATTTGTACCAATTGTCAAACCAAAAACTAATAAATATCCTCCCTGGTTCAGTAAGGACTTGATTAGTCGCTTACGAGAGAAAAATAGGGTTAGACTAAGGTACAAAAACTACAGCAACCCCCTGGACAGGATATCATATCGCAATTTTTTTAAAAATTAGCTTCTGAATGCTACAGCGCATACATTCGTAAAATTGAGGACGGAATTTTAACGAACCCGAAACTGTTCTGGTCTTATATTAAAACCAAACGTGGTGGCTCTGGAACATATCCAGCTACGATGACGGACGGTAATACGGTGATACAAAACGGTAATGACATATGCAACAGCTTTGCATCTTACTTCTTCTGTACTACCTCAAATCTTGGTGTACCATGTGACATAAATACTGACGAGAATATTTTTAGTACATCAGTGGGGGGAGCAATCGATTGTTTTTCAACTCTAAATCTTTCCCGCAAGCAAATTTACAAAAAAGTAGTCAATATTGATGTAACGAAGGGCACTGGGAGTGATAATATTTCACCGTTGTTTATTTCACGATGCGCGTCATGCCTGGTGGAACCTTTATTTATTATCTTTAATAACTCATTAAGTTCTGGGGTTTTTCCCAAAGCTTGGAAGGTTTCTAAAGTGGTGCCAGTTTATAAGGCAGGTGATGCTCAGATCATTGGCATTATTTGGAGTCTCTAGTCTGCCCTATTCTTCAAGCCTACTTTGACATGTATTTAAACGACAACCAGCACGGCTTCATAAAAGGTAGGTCTACTATTACTAATCTGGTTACGTATGTGGAGGACATTGCAAGTCCCATTGATGGCAATAAACAAGTAGACGCAATATATACAGACTTCAGCAAAGCCTTTGATAGAGTAGTCCATCGACGGCTTCTGGCAAAACTATCTGCATACGGAATAGGGGGTTCTGTTCTAGCTTGGTTCGAATCGTATCTAAGTGAACGTTCTTTCTATGTAGTCGTTAATGGCTTTGGCTCAGAGCTACGAGATATCACTTCTGATGTTCCGCAAGGTTCACACCTAGGCCCTATTCTCTTCAATGTCTTCGTGAACGATATACCTAATTATATAAAATACTCGTCCCCTTCGATGTTCGCAGATGACCTAAAACTGTGGAAAGTAATTGAAACACAAGATGATGTTTTGCATTTACAAAAAGATCTTGACGCGCTAGTGAAATGGTGTCAGACGAATGGAATGGAGCTCAATATCAATAAATGTGTTCACATTAAATTCACTAGGAGATTGAATCCTATTCCATCCATCTACAGCATTAATGGAATTCGATTAGGAGAAAGGACAGTAGTAAGGGATCTGGGTGTGCTTATGGATAATAAAATGACATTTGTCCCACATATTGACTACATCATAGGCAGGGCGTCCAAGATGTTGGGTTTTATTATCAGGAACGCTAGAGTATTCAAACGCCATTCCTCAAAAATTGCGCTATACAATAGCTTGGTTAGATCGATCCTTGAGTATGGAAGTGTGGTCTGGCGTCCACATTATGCTACTCACACACTTCATATTGAACGCATTCAAAAACGATTAGTAAAACACCTGGTGTTCTCACACTTCCGGCATAAAAG